TCTATCAAAGCATCTAGAAGCATATAAATATATATAGGCCCTTTAACAAGAGGGATCTTCATTTTTCAAAAAAAATGGAGACACTTTCTTGACTGTTGAATTGACTTTAATGAAATTGTGTGGTTGATATTAAATCACAGGCTACACAATTTCATTAAAGCCAAATCTAACGGCCAAGAGGGTGTCCTCATTTTATTTTTTTTGAAAAATAGGGATCCCTCTTGTTAAAGGATTCCTCTATATATATATAAACATATCTACAAAATAGTGAAAAAAAATGGAAGAAGAAGGAATAGCTTTGCAACTTATGAAGGAGAAATTTTTTTATTGTAACGGGAATACGGGATGATACATCATGTGTTTTTATGTAAGTGGTGATAAATTTTATTTTTTAAGTTATTAACTTTTTAACACACATATCTCACAATTTATATAGTGACATGTGTGTGTCGGTAATCTCTCCTTATGAAGAACATGATTTAAATATCTGTCGTTGTTGGATTTTATTTTTTTCATGGATTTTCTAATTCTAGGGTTTTAATTATGCACAACAGACGTTTTAGTGAAGGATGAGAACTCAAGACCAGCTAGCATTTGTTTTAGTGACACTTGTCTTCATTTGACTAACATAGATGCGATAATGTGCACTGAGTTTGATTAATTGTGATTAAACCTTATTGTTGTTTCGTAATTTTATTTACGAGTACATAGCTATAATGAGAGTGTCTTTGTTATTACAATATAGTTTTGAACACAACAAGTAAAAGTTAAAGATTCACGTGATAAAAACTGAAAATTTTACAATATGTCAATTAATGAGATGCAATGATGTATTAGGCGGTTGGATCTGTATGTTCTAATTTTGATAATTTCAATTTAGTCGTTCAAATACCAATATATTTTGTATGCATGCCTAAGTTTAAACTTACATGACACTGTCTGTAAGTACAATAATGGAATTACATAAATCAGATAAGTCTGAAACGTGCTTGTCCAATCGTTTAAAGGGCAAGTCCAAGGTGAAGGATCAAGGAGTACTACTTTATTTTTCTGAATATATATATGAAAGAGAGAGAAAGTAAATGATGAACATATTTAATTAGAATTTTTTATCGAGGTTAAAGAATTCTAAAGCTCTAGTTAAGAGATCTCGAATCCCCAACTCTTATATTATCCCATGTTGCCATTCCATGGACGTGATTTGGTTGCTTGCTTGGTTTTTGTTTTCCCAAAAGGGGGGCCATTCCATTGCCAACCAAAAACCAACTATCACTACTATTATATAAATTATAATCAATTTAAATTTTTTTTGTGTGCTGGAAACACGGTACACTAAGCACCATACAATTAGTTGAAAATTTATTTTTTTTAAATTTTCACCAATTGTAGTTTTACACTTAGTACAACTAGCGTTGTATCACATCCCCGCCCGGGCCCCCACCACATCCTGGCTCAACTCCGCCGTAGCACAATATTGTCCGCTTTGGGTCCCGACCACGCCTTCACTGTTTTATTTCTGGAAACTTAGACGAGAACTTCCCAGTGGGTCACCCATCATGAGACTGCTCTCGCGCAAACTCGCTTAACTTCGGAGTTCCGACGGAACCCGAAGCAAGCGAGCTTCCAAAAGGGCTCGTGTTAAGTAGAGATGTGAATATACATATAAGGCTTACATGATCTACTCCTTTGGACGATGTGGGATCTTATACGTTGAATGAAAATCCAACAGCCCATAATGCTTGGTCAGGAATATTCGCTCTTTGGGCTCAGGAGATGATCCAAATCCCTATAAAATAGCACATCATTACACGTGTCAATACGTCATTTGCCTGGTTCTTGGCTTCCTCATAATCCAATTGGAGAAAGAGGAATTGATACGGAGAATCTTAATCCCTGTCTCCTTAACAAGGCGGTAGCACCCTGAGCCTGTGGGTTTTGTTTTCGTTGTCTTCTCCTTAAATTATCCCCTCTAACCCAGTTCATTCTTTCTCATACACTGCACATCGAGATAATTAAATCATTTTTTATGTCGTATTATATACCATAATATATGGACCAACTCACCTGTGTGTGTTTAGTTTATTTCCCATCTTGTTTTTCTCTTTTCTAGCTAAAGAGCGTTTGGAAATGCAAAAAAAAAAAAAAAAAAAAAGAAAAAAAGAATACAGTGAAAAATACAAGAAAAGATGTATAAGGTTTACGTCACTCATGACGGTATATTTTTCTTCTTCTAATTCAATAAATTTCTTTTATGCCGTTGAGGTTTACAATAAAAGTGCTTAGGAAAATCAAATATCCTTTATGACGATGAGGTTTACAGCGAAAGTGTTTGCAAATGCTTTTAGAAAGGTTAAAATCACTTTTAGAAAGTGTTGTTTCTTATCAGAGCACTCCGTAATTTGATCAATGTTTATGTGCAAACTTTTTTTTTTAAATTTTATTTTATAGAAACAATCTCAAAATATCAAAATTTTATGATACTTGAAGTATAAAAGAATTTATCTCAAAGTGAAATTTTCGAGTTTGTGTTTTTTAAATAGCTTGAAGGGAGACTAGGTCGGAGTTTTTTAATGGAGAGTGGAGAGGAGAATCCATTAATCTTAAGGCTTAGGTGACTGTGATTGCACGTCCCAATGCCAACTAATAATGACATGAGAGAAGGAGAGAAAGGGACACTCCATCAAATGGAGAGATTTCTTGTTGTGACGGGAATACGGGTAGTACATCACTTATTTTTATCTAAGTGGTGGAAAATTTTATTTTTTAAGTTATTAATTTTTTAACACATATATCTTACCATTTATATAACGATATGTGGTGTACCACTCCATGTGACGGTCACACTGAAAAATCTCTCTATCAAATGGTATAAAGTCATGGATTATGATTCTCTTCCTTACTCTTTCCATTTCCTCCTCTTACATTCTCTTATTTTGTTTTTCTCTTGTTATAAAAAAATTAATATAAGATGTTGACGTGGCTTAACCGTGACCGTTCAAATAGGAGGGGAGAGAAAAAAAGAGGGGAGATAATCCTACTCCATAAAACCATACCTAATAAAAAAAAATTGAACAAGTTTTTTTTTTTTTTTACTATACTTTAATTTTTTAAGTACTAAATTACTTATATTATAACACCTAATATATCAAATTGTATTTATGATACACTGAAGATCTCTTCCATAGGTGCAGCTTGTTAACAATGAAGATTTCGTAATTGATGGGTCAACCTTAAGACTGCAGAGGAAAACCTAACCATCTGATTTACATGAAGCATATATAATAGTAGTAATTTTCACGCTCTAGTTCCTTTATGCGTCCCTTCTTTTGTTCTTCGATATTTTTACTAAAAAAAAATCAAACAATGAGAGTTCGAAAATCACTTTTTGGTTATATATAAGAGTAAATTGTAGCAATGGTTCATCAGATTTAATCAAATTGAAGCAATGATCTCTCAACTAAAAATCAATTACCATTGGTTCCTTAACTTATCAAAATGTGTAGTTATAGTTTTTTTCATGAATTTCATCAAAATAAGTTATGTTGGAATAACCATTTATATAATTAGTGTCTCTCAACTCATCAAAGTGTGTAATTATGGTCATTTTCATCAACTACGTCAAAATTTTTGTCAAAACGAGTTATGTTTGAATGATCATTGCTACAATTGGGTTAAAGTTAAAAGACTATTTCTCTAGCTGAATTAAAGGTGAGGGACCAATGGTAATGAATTTTTAGTTAAGAGACCATAGTTGTACATTTTGATGAGTTGAGAGATCAATAGTAATAGATTTTTAGTTGATGGACCATTGCTCAAATTGAGTTAAAATTAAGGGACCATAACTACAATTTACTCTATATATAATGGAAATGGATCATCTCTAGATCCCTTCATCCTAATCTACCAAATCAAGAAATCATTGCCATTGAAATTTGATCAAAGGGCTACAAACAGAGAGTCATTTTAAGAGTTATAATAACTTCAGCCGTTGAATCAAATTTCAATATTCCGGATCTCCTAATTTAGTGGATTAGGAGGAAGGGATCCGGAGAGGATCCCATTCCATATATAATAGGCAATGTACATGCACCATAGAACAAACAGATACAACATGGAATGTGCTAGGCTGCTAGATAAGATGGTCAAGCTATCAAGATGGGTTGGCGTAGATCTTCCCACACAATAATGCAGATTGCCGACTGCATAAACCAGATGGCTTAATTAATTTCTTAATTAATAATTAAGTTCTCCATTAATAAATGCAGTGTGAAAACGAGCTAGATTTTAGGGCCTTGACCAAACAAACCAAATTAAAGACGTTATTAAGCTCATGTCCCAAGGTGCAATGAAGGACAACGCAATAAGATAAAAGAAAACCCCCCAAAGCAAAAGTTGGCAATGTCAGTTGCTAGCTAGCTCAACTGGAATAAATCATCTGCTTAAATAATGCGCAACTCGATTGAATAAATCAGAGTTAAAAAATAGAAGTGATTAAAATAAACAGATATTAATTGGTGACATATTATCTCAATAATTAGAATTTTCATATTCAATTCATACTGTTTTTCGAGTTTAAACTCTTGTATAATATCGTTTATAAGAAAAATGTTAAAAATATTATCTTAAAGTTGAATTTTTTATAAATTCTTTGACAGTTACTGTTTAATATTAATTCCGTGTCAATTTTATAAAATATTATATCAAAAACATAAGATCACTTTAAAAAAAATCTTCTTAACATCTATCTCTCTGAAATTATGATAAATAAAACTCAAGTAAAATAAACTGATATTAATTAGAGTGAGTAAATAAAAGCTAATAAAGATTAGAATGGTAGTAATTTAAAGGTGGTGAAGAAATAAAAAAGCAATGGGTTTTGGGGGGAAGAGAAGAGAGAGTGTGTTTAATAATTTTACAGTGGCAGTGGCGGTGGTTAATCATCTAGAGCTCTCTTTTATATGTAAGCGTGGGTATAAAAGCAAGACCTTTGCCATTACTCCTCTTTCTTTCACTCTCTAAAGCAATCCATCTCTTCAGTTTCTCTCTCTCTCTCTCTCTTTTCAGTTTCTCTCTCCTCCTTTTTGGGTGTGCGACAGTGAGTGTAGCCAGAGCTGCCGAGCTAAAAAACAGGAGGGGTTTTGAACAAATTCAAAGCCAACCCAAAACCCAAATTCAATAAGAGGATTGTTTCAAGTACAAAGCTTGAATGGAGGGCAGAGAGCCAAAAGTAGCACAGAATCTCAAACGGGTATCTTTCTCTTAACACTTTTGAAGTTGGCTCTCTTTCTCTCTCTCTCTCTCTCTCTCTGTGTGTTTCAGAGCTGAGGGTTTCCTGCAACTCTGACTAGGGTTTTTGAACGGGGGCATTTATTATGCTGAAATCAATGTTCTTCTAGACTTTTACCAGCCCTTTCTTTGAACTGTCATTTTTTAGTCTTCTGCCTTGGGAGTGCTTCCTCTTGTCAAATATGGAACTGCAAATTTGAGTGGTCTTTGGAAATGGTAGCTGCTAATTTGGTACAGCTTTTTCTGGGTACATGGGTTTTGTTTCACTGTTTTGGAATTTTTCTGCCCATTAATGCAAGTGTGGATCTTTCTCTCAAAGCCCTTTTCTTTGTGTAGTTATCTTCACATAGCACATTATTTCTTTACTTTTTGGGTTTCCTGGATACTCCTGAGGTAATTTTTCTCGGAGAAGCTTGAAGTTCCTTCAATTGCAAGTTTAAAGTTTACATCTTTTGAGATTATTTGAGTTGAATTATACTTTTGCTTACTTCCTCTGTTTTTAATTTGCTTTTTTTCTCTCCTGTTTTAGTCAAACTGAAATTAGGGTTCTAGGGTTTTATTTGGGGTGGTCAAATTTGGGAGATTTTGGCTACTTTTGGCGTTCTTTGGAGAAAACATGGATATGGGTGAGCAAGATAAATTTGAATTAGAGAATAGGAATGATGATCCTATGAATTTTTCTCCTGGGATTACACCAGACTGGAGATTTGGTGGCTCCAATCTCACAAATACATCCACGGGGTTAGTTGCCACTGGAAATTCTATGGCAGTTAGTAAGGGGGATCTAGTTGGTTCTTCTTCTCGGCCCTCGGCTTCAATGGCGGAATCGTTTAACCCGACACTTTGGGATCACCCAACCAGTGCACAAGACCTGGGGTTTTGTGACATGAACGTTCAGACCAGTGCAAGCACTTCAGACTCATTGGGAATTAGGAAAGGCATTCCTGCCTCTTTGAGAAGTGGTATTGATAGAGCACTTGATATGTGCTGGAATCCACCGAATTCGATGTTGAAAGGGGGAATGTTCTTGCCAAATGGGCCTGGAGTGCTCCCACAGAGTTTGTCTCAGTTTCCAGCCGATTCTGCGTTCATTGAGCGTGCTGCGAGGTTCTCGTGCTTCAATGGCGGGAATTTTAGTGATATGGTCAACCCTTTTGGTGTCCCTGAATCCATGAGTATGTATTCTAAGGGTGGGGGATTGATGCCGTGGACACAAGAACTTGTAGCCGGTAATGGGTCGAAAGGAGTTCCCGGCGTCCATTCTCAAAGGAATGAGCTAAATGGGGATGTTTCTTTGCCTATGGAGCAAGGGACTACTGAAGGGAGCCCACTGAAGAATGAGAAGAAAAGTGAGAGCCTTGCGAAATCTCATGATGAAGCAAGACACGCTATTGGCGGGTCTGGTAACGAGTCCGATGAAGCTGATTCCAGCGGTGGTGGCGGTGCTGGTCAAGAAGAACCATCTATGCTGGAGGGTGCAAAACCATCTTCTAAGGGCTTTAAGAAAAGGAAAAGGTAGTAGGCAGGTAAACCACCATCTGGAAAATGCCTTTTTTTTTACCTTGTTCGTTATGCATGTTATTTAATTTATCTTTGATGACAGGCTAATGAGCTTGATCAAGCCAATGCACAACAACCCGGTGAATCGGTAATGGATATTACTGAATTTCAAGATAAGGGAGAGCAACAACCAGCTTCAACTCCCAACAAGACTACTGGAAAACAGGGGAAACAAGGGTCTCAAGCATCTGATCCACCGAAAGAAGAATATATTCATGTTAGAGCACGAAGAGGCCAGGCAACAAATAGTCATAGTCTTGCAGAAAGAGTAAGATATTATGTCGAAATATTTTTTATTATTACATTAGGGTGGAGTTTGATCGTTTTTTGAAACAGGTCCGAAGGGAGAAAATCAGTGAGAGGATGAAGTTTCTTCAAGATCTTGTGCCTGGATGCAGCAAGGTTGTCTTGTCTTACTTGAATAATATTTAAAGAACTAATTTATTTCAAATTCGCACCTGAGAGTTGCCTAGTTCATATTCATGACAAGCAACTGGTTGATGCAGGTAACTGGGAAGGCAGTGATGCTGGACGAAATCATTAACTACGTACAGTCATTGCAACGGCAGGTTGAGGTACGAAAACTTTCTTGATTTCTTTTCTTCCGAGTTGTGCTTCTTAGTATTTCTGGTGTAATTGGTCTTTCCTGCATCGTGTATTCGTGAATAGGAGTAAAAGTTTTGGTTGGGAAATTGGTTTCGTACTGAATTCAACTTTTCTGTCTTCACGAAGGGCTATTCTTAACTTGTTTATGTCGGTTAAGGTGTTGCTTCTAAGGAAAAGATTGCAAATAAATGAGCCCTTTGCTAACCATAATCTCAAATTTATGTTCTAAATTCATGCTAGACACGTACTCCTGATTAGTATAAGGCATTCGATTATATCTTACAGCAGCCTCCTCTTTTTGCAGTTTTTGTCAATGAAGCTTGCTACGGTGAATCCGCGACTTGATTTTAACATTGAAGGCCTCCTTGCAAAAGATGTAAGTCATTTTGCCTGCCTTCCATGGGAAGGCAGAATAATGATCTGTATGTTTGTGCCACATCTGATTCACCCTTGTACATCATTTCCACACAGATCCTTCAGTCACAGATCGGACCTTCATCTACGTTGGGGTTTTCTCCGGATATCCCTATGGTTTATCCTCAACTACATCCATCTCAACCGGGACTTATCCAAGCTGGCCTTCCTGGGATGGGGAGCTCTTCTGATCTACTTCGGAGTGCCATGGGTTCCCAAATGACACAAATGACCGGAGGATTCAAGGAGCCTTCTCAGGTATCTTTCAAGCGATCGCTAAATTTCTGTGACATGAACTTTCATAGTCGATGTGGATAATATCCCATACACCATGTACACCTGAATGTTATTCTTCTGCTCAGCTTTCAGAGTCTCTATGTTACGAATCTTACGACTGAACTTCATAATTCCTGTGTTTAGCCACAGCTACCAAATGTGTGGGAGGATGAGCTCCACAACGTTGTCCAGATGAGCTATGGAGGCAGTACTCCTCCGAGTAGCCAAGATGTGGATGGTATGCATCATTAGGTTTTACGTACAACATGCCTCCGATATCTTTCCAGTGTCTTGAGCTAATTTCTCTTCTCTTCGAAAAAATTGCAGGACCAACGCCACCGGGCCAGATGAAAGTTGAACTTTGATTATACGATTCTTATTCATGCCGCGACACTGTTCCGCCCCCATACATGCGCAATACTACCGTGATGAAATAACAACGATCATGATTCTCCCTTTCCCCGTCACCTAGGACGATGAAGAGACCATCGCCATATTTTGCGGAAGCTCAACCCGTCAAATTTGAAGCTTCCGGCTTTAGGCGATTTGCAGAAACATAATGCAGAAGCAGATGTTACGTTGATATTGTAAGCAGCATTATATGGTGGTATGTATAGAGGCAGAGAAGGTGAAGTTGTTTGTGTTGAAGGGAGTGGATCAGGGAATGTATAGAAATAGAGATGGGCGGTAACAAGGAATTTGCGATGGGAAATGTTGGTCATGTTTTTGTTATTTTTAGATTAACAAATTGTTTTGTTAATTATATATCTTTCAATGTCAAGTGTAGTATTATAATTTATTTCTTCTCTCATCTTGTTACATATTTTAACATGTTTAGTTTACTTTTTGTGGCACAAATTTTTTAGTAAAAATAAAAATTAATCCTAGAAAAACACTTGAATTGCTTCGGGTGCAATGAGCACTCAAAATGCTCATGTGGGAGTGCTTTTGAAAATGACGCAAAGGCGCTTTTAGAAAAAAATGTTCTGGGGTTCTGAATTGCTTGTGTGCTTCGTGCTTCGGGGTGCAATGAGCATTCAAATGGTTCGTGTGGGAGTGTTTTTTAAAATGAGTGTTTTTTAAAGGGAGCTTTAACGAAAAACATCCGGTACTGTTTATTTTAACGAAAAATTACATTTTTACACTAAAAAGTCAATCCTGGTACTATTCACTTTACCCTTTATTTTGTCCTTATCATTAAAACTCAAAGTTTTCAAATTCTTTTCATTAGTTTTTTTTTTTTTTTTTTTAAATAATGCAAAGACGCTTTTATAAAAAAATGTTTTGAGGTTCTAAAAGCATTGAATTACTTACGTGCTTCATGCAAGAAGCATTTCCTCTGAATTTTCTGTGCCCTCCTCTGAATTACAATTAGCTTCTGTTTGCCGCCGAAGGCCTTTGGGGTGATGTCTTCTTCCTCAAACTACTACTGCAACTTACTCAAGCTTTTCAGCCAAGCAGGAACCATGCGCAAGCCAAGAAGCTGCATTCCCAAATCATCAAAACCGTGACTAATCCTGAAACCTTTCTTCTAAACAATCTCGTTACCACCTACAGCAGATTGGGCAACTTAAGCTATGCCCGACTTCCGTTCGACCAAATACCTCACCGAAGCCTTTTCCCTTGGAATGCCATTCTCTCTGTCTACTCTAAATCGGGTCGTCTTTCCGTGATGCAAGAGATCTTCAATCGAATGCCAACCCGTGATGGGGTGTCTTGGAATTCACTTATTTCGGGGCATGCGTCATGTGGCTCGGTTGCTGAGGCTGTGAAAGTTTATAGCTTGTTGTTAAGGGACGGGCCGGGTAATTTGAACCGGATTACGTTCTCCACTATGCTTGTGCTTTCGTCGAGTCAGGGGTGTGTGAACTTGGGTCGACAGCTTCACGGGCAGATAGTGAAATTTGGGTTTGAATTATATCTGTTTGTTGGTAGTCCTTTGGTGGACATGTACTCAAAAGCAGGGTTAATTTTTTATGCAAAGCGGGTTTTTGATTCAATATAGGAGAAGAATGTGGTTATGTATAATACACTGATCACTGGCCTTTTACGATGTGGATTGATCGCAGAATCTGAATGCTTGTTTAGTGAAATGCCTGAAAAAGATTCAATTTCGTGGACTACAATGATTACCGGACTTAACCAAAACGGTGCAGGTGGAAAAGCGCTTGATAAGTTTAGAGAAATGAGAAGGCTTAAGTATGGATCAATATACGTTTGGTAGTTTACTGACTGCAAGAGATCCAGCGCAATGGTGTTCTAGGATTCATATGGCCGACCCCACTTAGTGGGAAAAGGTTTTGTTGTTGTTGTTGTTTGTAGCGTACTGACTGCATGTGGGGGCCTATCAGCCTTGCAAGAGGGCAAGTAATATCATTAGGACTGATTTTATAGATAACATCTTTGTTGTTAGTGCTCTTGTTGACATGTATTGCAAATGTAGAAGCATAAAAGCTGCAGAAATGGTTTTCAAGAGAATGAACCGCAAGAATGTAGTATCGTGGACTGCACTACTTGTGGGATATGGACAGAATGGGTACAGTGAAGAAGCTGTAAGAATTTTTTGTGATATGCAGAGAAACGGGGTTGAACCAGATGACTTTACGCTGGGAAGTGTAATTAGCTCATGCGCGAACCTAGCAAGCTTAGAAGAGGGCGCCCAGTTCCATGGTCAAGCTCTAGCTTCTGGATTGATTTCTTTTGTTACAGTTTCAAATTCACTTGTCACATTATACGGTAAATGTTGAAGCATCGAAGACTCCCAATGGCTGTTCGATGAGATGGAGATCACGGACGAAGTCTCCTGGACAGCCTTGGTTTCAGGGTATGCTCAGTTTGGAAAAGCTTATGAGACGTTTGATTTGTTTGAAAGGATGTTGGCCCTTGGTTGGAAACCCGATGGAGTTACTTTCATAGGGGTTCTTTCAGCTTGCAGTAGAGCAGGACTCGTGGAGAAAGGACATCACTACTTTGAATCAATGGTGAAAGAACATGGAATTACACCCATTGTGGATCACTACACTTGCATCATCGACCTTCTCAGCCGGGCTGGAAGATTAGAAGAAGCAAAAAACTTCATAAATAAGATGCCTTTCCGTCCAGATGCAATTGGTTGGGCCACCTTGTTGAGCTCGTGTAGACTTCATCATAATATGGAAATTGGTAAATGGGCAGCTGAATCTCTTCTAGAACTAGAGCCCCAGAATGCTGCAAGCTATATCTTGCTCTCAAGCCTCTATGCTGCCAAGGGGAAATGGGATGAGGTGGCCAAATTAAGGAGAGGAATGAGGGATGAGGGCGCTAGAAAGGAACCGGGATGCAGTTGGATCAAATATAAGAACAGAGTGCACATTTTTTCAGCAGATGACCAGTCAAGTCCATTTTCGGATCAGATATATGCTAAGCTGGAGGAACTAAATTGCAAAATGATAGAAGAGGGGTATGAGCCAGATATGAGTTCTGTTCTTCATGATGTTGAGGAATCGGAAAAGATGAAGTTGCCAAATTACCACAGTGAGAAGCTTGCAATTGCATTTGGATTGATATTTCTTCCTCCTGGCCTTCCCATACGAGCAGTTAAAAACCTTCAATTATGTGGGGATTGTCACAATGCCACTAAATACATTTCCAAGATCACTAAGAGAGAGATACTTGTAAGAGATGCTGTCCGGTACCATCTATTTAAAGATGGAACTTGTTCAAGAGGAGATTTCTGGTGATGGGATTGCGAGTGTGCTGGAGAGGATTTTAAAACCATATATTTATTAGGTGGGTGACCAAATTCAGAGTTTCCTTGATTTCAGAAGATGTGTCGCTTCATATACACAGATGCAATTGAGACCTGTTTGTGCATGAAGTGACTATCCTGCAAGGATTTTTTTTTTATTTTTTTTTATTTGATCTGAATCCTTGCAAGTTTATGAACCGGAAATGTTTTTATCTCAAGATTCCAACAGCTGTGCTCAAGCTCCAAAGAAGGAGGATCACATCACTTGGAGATGGAAGTTATGATTATACATGCATGTTCTACTTGTTTCAGGTTGAGAAGGCAAGTCATTAAACTTCACTTGGTGACTTATTGGATTATGTTTTGGAGGACTATCCGCTGTGAACCCTTTATTTACTTGGATAAACCTATTGCTGCAAGTTTAAAAGAAGCTTCTTAAGGGTCTTCTGAACTGTTAACTGAACTGCATTTCCAATAAACTCATGTCTTTACACTTCATACAAAATAGTACAAGCAACATCTGTAAAGGAATTATAAAACATAATGCGTATCTATCCTGGAATTATAAGATATATGTTTTTATTCATTGTGAATCTCACGTGCGCAGAAAATAGTCATCTAACTTTCATTCAGATTGCTGTGATCTCTTACAGGAGTCCTCTTGAGCTTCTTGTTGGTTCTGCGTTAACATTAAAGATGAGCTTTTGTATATAAAGTTTATCATTCATGCAGACTTGGGAAGAATTCAAAAGTCCATGAAGAATTACCTTCAACTGGGCACAGATCTCAATGACTTCAGCTGGAGGTGCCCAATCACCAAAGTTCCTCTCAATAAACTGGTATGCAATGCCACTCCTTCCACCGCCAACTACAAAAAGCCCCCCCTTAATTTCACCTTCTCCTTTGAAGTTTTGCTGTATCCCCATAGCTTTTGCACGCTTGTAATTTGCTCTAGCTCGAGGGTTGAAAATAAAACCTGACAGGAATTTTTCCTTGAGCAGTTTCCCTCCACCAAGTGCTTTGAAGAATTCCATTCCGCGATCATACAATACAACACCACCCCAATATCGAGGCCAGAAGTCTTTTATCTGCATCAAAACACTACGTCATCCAAAGTTGATGGTAAGAGTCGGAAATTAAATGTAGTTATACCTCTGACTCCATATACTCATGAAGAACAGCAAATAGTTGAACCCCTAGTGAATCAAATATCGGTTTTTTGGCATATAGCTGGTGAGCTTCAGCTCTACACATGATGCACCTGTTTCAAGTTCAATATATACAAAAGAACTTAGTTTCAAGAAAGATGCTCATACTTTGACTCAAATTACTGAATTAGATAGAACTCTATTTCTCACTGTGGAGTCGAGCCAGCTTTTCACGGTCGTACATTATTTTTTGTCTGTTTCATATACTTCCCTTCGGACCATAAGACAATGATACCATCCTATAGCAATATACTTGCATCATGTGCCTCTTCATTTTAATTTATGAATTTCCGTCTTTAAATGTCTTATATTTACTTAATACATTACACCCCTATATGAAAGCTATGATCAACGATATCTCCTATTTTTTTGAGTTCATGACAGAAAATTTAGCACCTAATATAATGGACAGTACCAGGATCTGTTAAAACGAAGACATGTTGAAATGCAGAGTAAAAGATTTTACCCAGGACGTCGAATGCAGAGAATCACTGCTGGTTTGTTTCTCCACAGTTCTGAAGCCTTCATCGGAGGTATTTTGGTTTTCACCAAATGCTCCATTCCAATCTTATACTCTGGTGTCAACTTCTGAACCGAGATGTTTTCGATGGTAGAGTATGGAGCAACTTTGTCAGCTACAGGATCAGGTTGTACACAACCACATGCTCTAGGTTCAGCTGGCTCCATGGCAACGATCCCTTTGAAGATGTATCCATCCCTGATCTTGAAACTTGCCAGTGATTGTTCTAGAGATTTTCCGTTAATTGAACTAGTTCTTGTTGGTAATTTACTCAGGATCTTTTGAGAATTTACAGATTGAAAACTCCTTTGAATGCTAGTATTTTTCGATAGTAAGCCCATTCTTCCTGTT